TAGGAAAGGTTAAGAAAGAGAGGGACGAGAGAAAGAAAGCATTGGGTTTGGGTGAGTTGGCAAATTTGGCAGCCGCTGCGGCATGTCATTAGATAACTCATTTTTGCCTAAGCTGCCATATTATGGCTTTGGCAATTGTTTTAGCAAACCATTGGAGATGCTCTTAATCTCTTTTCCCTATATATTTTAGTTTCATCTCAAATCTATTTTTTTTTTTTCAAAGGAAAGCAAAAGAAAAATATGGAAAGAGAGATAGTGAATATACTGATTTTAGTAGCAAGGACATGATTTATAATCAAATATAAGGTTTTTATGAAGGGGTATCGACCAAAGGGATAACAAAGGTGAATATAACATGAGTTGAGTTAAAGTTTGATCGGGGTAGTAGAAGTTGATAGACGGACACATGAAGATAATTAGAAAAGGGATCGAATATGGCCAACATGTACTAGGAGTTGCAGAAAGATCTAGAGATTGTGTACAATAGCGGTGGCACTATTAATGAAAGAAAAAGAAAAAATAATAAAAACCATAAGTGTAGCCTTGATAAAAAAAAAATAGTATAATTACTTGATTCAAAATATTATATTATATATATCTTTACTATTTAAATTTAAATTAATTTTTGTATATTTATTAAAGATTGTGCATAGAATGAGTATCATGCTAGTAATATAAAAATAGAAAAGTCTTTAATATAGATAGAGTCAATGAATTTTTGTTGGAAGAGTACAATTCGAAATGGTTTCTTATATTAGACATGAATATTGCTTGAATTTATTAATTTAATAACAGAGAAATTTGAGGACCTCTTCTTAGAAATTACGTTGCATCAAAGTTGTTTTTAGATATTTTTTAGAGTGTTTTTTTTTTATTCATTAGTCATTTTTAATTTGATTTTATGTTATGCTTAAAGTTAGAATTTATTATTAAAAATAAAATGTAATATATAATTTTTAAATCTTGTCATTTGGAGAATTGAATTTGAAATTTTTAGCCAAAATTTTTAAATGAGGTACCAATTTTTTACAATTGACACTCAATTTTGCAATTCTAACACTATATTTGAAATTTCACTGTTTTGAAGTCAGTGAAATTTTACTGTTCAAAGAAAATTTCAATGAAATTTCACTGTAAAAAAGACTATTAAACAGTAAATGTGATGACCCAGAATTTTTCCCTTCGCTCGAGCGGAGGATTTGACGCTCGAGCAGACTTTTGGGGTTCTCAGCAATTTTGCAGACGGCCTGAGATTCTGGGAGTTGCGAATCTCCGCTCGAGCGGAGAAGTTGACGCTCAAGCGGACTGTTTTATTAGTCTGTGCGCGCTCGAGCGGTTGAAGCGACGCTCGAGCGTGAGAAGTAAGATTTCCCTTGACATTGTAGTGGTGTATTTGGAATCTTCTTATTTTATTTTGGAGTATTGTTTGGGGTAGTAATATGATGGTGAAGTAAGATGGGACCAAAAACTTTAATTCGAGCAATTTGTTTATGTTCAACAGCCACTCTTTTGCCCTTTTCTTTTTCCACACTTTGAATTTGAATGTGAGGTTAGAACGATTGAAAAGCTTATCTCCAGGGCTTCAATTTGGACACAAGAACGGCCTAAAACGGAGCCCGGATGAGAGAGTTATACATGATTAAAGTTTTGGGATCTGTGCTGGGAGCAGGTACGCTCAAGCGGGAATAAGGACGCTCGAGCGGGGTTGGCGAGTACAGTAGCGTAAAAACGGGATTTTGAGATCTTTTTCCACATTTTCTTTCCCCTTTCTTCTTTCCTCTTCTCCTAAGTCCGAAACCCTCCAAAACCCTAGCCTCAAAACCTTGATTTCCTCTATTTTGAGCAACAATCCACCATGGTTTTTGCATCAAGGATGGAGAACAAGAGAAGATCAATGTTTTTACCCGATTGGAATTCAGATTTGCGAAGGCATCTTCTCAAGCTCACTTCTTTGCTTGATTATGGAGGTAGGAGTCCTAGTTCTCTTCAATACTTACATCAAAATATAGATTTGTGGTCTTTCCATTGTATAAATATACGAATTTGCATTTTTGAGCAAATAGAGTAAATTATGAGATTTGGGAATTTCGGGTTTGAAGCATTGAGGGTTCAATTGATGGGTTAAGGAGATGGAGTATGACCCTTAGATGTATAATCAAGGAGAAACTTGGGATGTAAAGTCATGGTATGAGAAGTTTGTATTTTTTATGGAAAACTTTATATTTTTCTTGAAACCCTAGGTTAATTTGTGATGCTAAATAATGATTTTTGCCCAAATGGAAAATAGAATCATGAAATTGGTGGGTTGAATTATGCATGTACAAGTTGAATTGGATTTTTGAGATGTTTTGAAATAATGTTAAAATTTGCGAATGAACCTTGTTATGAGCATTGTGAATCATGTTAAAATGAGAAAGGAAATTAGGGGAAATGACTCAGAAAATTAATGTGTGACCTCATATGTGTGTAGGACACGCTTCGGGAGGAATAAACGCTCTACCAGCACACTGTGAGTAATAGTACGGAGATGTACATTCTATTGATTATTGATAATTATTATCACTAACGCTCTGTTTCTTGTAAGTGTTACACGAACATGTTACATGAACAATTATGATGAGTCAAAGTCAATGTGGACGTTGAAAGAATGGCATATATCGGTATGACTTTAGAATGATTTCGTTCTATCAATAGCAAATAATAAATTCTCTATTATCTATAAGCAAATTACGTCGTTTCTTAATGAATAAATAGAATTATGTTCATCTTTAAGCCAAGTATCTGTATGAAACTGAGATTATTCTATTGTGTTACTTATGGACCCGAGGTCATCAAGAACCTGTGACACGCATGCAATGTTTAATATTATTATGTGGCCTCAGTTAATAATTGTTATGATTATTATTATTCAGTTGTTCGCGAGACACCTGTATTAATTTGTAATCAGGCCATGGGAAACTTATGTGCATTATTGCATACTGATACTTTAAGAAGACTGAAATCATTCCCATTACAAGGGCTTTGTGCCATTACAAGTTACATGGGCTTTATGCCATTACAAGTTTCATGGGCTTTATGCCATTATAAGTTACATGGGCTATATGCCATTACAAGTTTCATGGGCTTTATGCCATTACAAGTTTCATGGGATTTATGCCATTACAAGTTTCATGGGCTTTATGCCATCACAAGTTACAAGGGCTTTATGCCATTCCAAGGGCTTTATTCCATTACAAGGGCTTTATACCATCACAAGTTACAAAGGCTTTATGCCATTACAAGGGCTTTATGCCATCACATGGGCTTAATGCCAATCTATGTTCAAGGGCTTCATGCCAACTTTTCAAGGGCTATATGCCATCTTTCAAGAGTTTTTCATGCCATATGTTTCAAGGGGCTATTGTGCCAGATGTTCCAAGGGCTTTTATGCCAATGTGTTTCAAGGGCTTTATGCCGTTTTGATAAGAGCTTCATGCCATTTTGTTAAGGATTGCAAGCCGTTCTGTTAAGGGCTTAAAGCCACTGTGTTTAAGATTAGGCCCAAGGCCATTCTGTAAAAGATACTCAAAGTATAAATGATTTTGATGAAATCCGTATTTGGAGTTACGAAGTGTTTCATATGATAAGTAATTTCTGAAATGAGAAAAATGCTATGAACTTATGATATGGTTATAATATGATATGCTTGCCGGATAATTTTCCACAAAATGCCTAGATGCACTATGAAACCCCGAAAGTTCAAGATATGACAAGTTAAAAAAAAAATAGTATAATTACTTGATTCAAAATATTATATTATATATATCTTTACTATTTAAATTTAAATTAATTTTTGTATATTTATTAAAGATTGTGCATAGAATGAGTATCATGCTAGTAATATAAAAATAGAAAAGTCTTTAATATAGATAGAGTCAATGAATTTTTGTTGGAAGAGTACAATTCGAAATGGTTTCTTATATTAGACATGAATATTGCTTGAATTTATTAATTTAATAACAGAGAAATTTGAGGACCTCTTCTTAGAAATTACATTGCATCAAAGTTGTTTTTAGATATTTTTTAGAGTGGTTTTTTTATTCATTAGTCATTTTTAATTTGATTTTATGTTATGCTTAAAGTTAGAATTTATTATTAAAAAGAAAATGTAATATATAATTTGTAAATCTTGTCATTTGGAGAATTGAATTTGAAATTTTTAGCCAAAATTTTTAAATGAGGTACCAATTTTTTACAATTGACACTCAATTTTGCAATTCTAACACTATATTTGAAATTTCACTGTTTTGAAGTCAGTGAAATTTTACTGTTCAAAGAAAATTTCAATGAAATTTCACTGTAAAAAAGACTATTAAACAGTAAAAATTCATTATTCAAAAAGTAGTTTCACTTTTGAAGGCACCAAGATAGTGAAATTTCACGAATGAAGACTATAAACACTGAAATTTCACTGATACTATTTGAAGACTACGAACATAGTAATTTTTTTTTTTTAAAAAAAAATTGATATTGATCACAGATCTTATTTAATAGATTTCAAAGAACATATTTCAAAAGTACAAATTTTATCAAAAATAGATATTTAAATAAAAAGTTGTTGAATTTGGAAGTTTTCAAAATTTTCAAAATGTAAAAAACATTGAATAGCTGAACAGTAAAGGTTATTTTAGTCCAAATTTGTTATCCAAAATATGAGAGAACCCAAACTAAGGAGGCTCTATTTACACCACACCTTTCATTTCAAGGCACACCATTAATTAGTTGATTTTTTTTTATTACAATTGTAACCTTAGGTAAAATGACTATAAATGACAAGTTATGATATACACCATTTTTATAATTACCATAAAGAACAATGAATATAATACACATCAACAATCTCAAACGTGTTACTTATGTATCTTGTCTCTCAAAAATCAAAAAACCCTAAAACAAAAATCAAAAATCCTTAAAGAAATAACCAAAAATATACATATTATTGAAGATTTTGATTGGATTCAATGAAGGATGCATCTGGCAATACTGATTTGGAACAATGGAGCAAGGAAAAGGTTATTTTTTCTTTCTTTTTTTTCGTTTTCGTTTACTTACTGAGTGGTAAACCGTTTGTATTAGTTCTGTTATCCAGAGTCGATTAATATATCAATGTTCGACTACCTACAAGCGAACAAATTGTACAAGTTCAGTTTCATAGTGTCGAACCTGATCCAATTATTCGGTTTGTAAGTATCGAACAAACCCCATTTGTTCGGTTAGAAACAGTCGAACAATTTCACTTAATTCGACTATGTACTACTGAATACTTATAACATTTTTTTCTTTTTGGGCTTTTTCCAGAATTATGCATCAATGGAATGCAATAATGTTGGATCTGGGGGTCTTGTTGACTACACAAGTTAATTTATCACTAATGAGGTAGTCTCATATTGAAAATTAGTATTTTTTTTCTTTTTCTTTTCGCATGTTTAATGACTTTGATGAATTTGACATGTAGGTTTTCAAGAGCAAAGAAGAATTGCTCAGTTGGGTACAAGACCCTGGAAGGAGAAATGGGTTTGTGATTGTCATCAAGACATCGGACTACGGTGATGGTCGTAGGACACCAAGAATATATCTTGCCTGTGAGAGAAGTGGTCAATACAGAGCTCATAAGAAATTAAAAAGAGATGATTCGAATAAAAAAATTGTGAAGATAACGGGTACAAAGAAATACGGGTGTCCTTTTGAGTTAAGGGCTCATAAGTTGATGGCTGATGATGATTGGATGGAAGATGTAGCATGTGGAATGCATAACCATGCTCCTGCTAAACATTTTGAAGGACATTCATTTGCAGGGAGATTATCTGAGGAGGAAACACCATTATTAGTGGATATGTCCAAAAGCATGGTCAGACCAAAAGAGATTTTGGTTATCTTGAAACAAAAGGATGCTTTGAATGTAACTACTATGAAAACCATTTACAATGTACATCATAGGAATAATGTTATTGAGAAAGCTGGGAGATCACAAATGCAACAGTTGTTGGGTGAATTAGAAAAGCACAATTACATTGAGCGGCATAAGTGTGACAACAACATGATGACTGTCACAGACTTGTTTTGGGCACATCCTGTCAGTTTAGATTTACTCCGTTCATTTCCAGAGATGTTGATCATGGACTGCACATATAAGACAAATCGATATCATCTTCCTCTTCTTGAGATAGTTGGTGTGACATCCACTGATATGTCATTCTCCGTAGTCTTTGCGTATCTCCAATTTGAGTGGATAGATAACTACGTTTGTATGTTAACGACATTGCGTAGTCTCTTGGATAACATTGCTATTCTCGAGGTGATTATTACGGACAGGGAGCTTGCTTTGATGAATGCTATCGATAGGATATTTTCTACATCTCGACATTTATTATGCCGATGGCATATTAGTAGAAATGTGTTGGCGAAATGCAAGAAAATGTTTAAGAGTAAGGAGGAATGAGACAAGTTTATCTCTTTATGGAATTTCTTAGTACTCTCCTCAATTGAGCTTAAATACAATGAACACCTTACTAGGCTACTAGCGGATTTTGATACATATCTTGAGGCAGTGCAATACGTGTCACAAAGTTGGTTAATTCCTTATAAGGATAAGTTTGTTGCCATATGGATAGATAGTTGTATGTACTTCAGGAATGTTACAACCAACAGGTAATATATATTTGTCTACCTTACACTACTAGTCATTATGATTTTGATTATTTAAACTTAATTATGTTAATTGTTTCCATTGTATACAGGGCTAAAAGTGCGCATGCAAAACTTAAATGGCAACTTGGTTCTAACCAAGTCAATTTTAAGTATTCTTAGACCAAGATCCATATTTTTCTTGAGTTGTAGCATGTTGATATTAAGGCATTGTTTGAGAAGTGTTTAACCGTTGTACAACACCATTTCAAACCATCCCATTTTAGAGAGCTTCGAGGAAATATCTCTATTACTGCATTAGATCATGTCTTAACGGAGAGTAAGCGAGCGAATTATGTTGGCATTGATGCTTCAGTATGTGGATATGTTGTTCGATGAACACACGGGTTACCTTGTGCCCATGAGATTACGGATTACATCTGACAGAATCGTCCAATACCACTTGATAGCATTAACCCGCACTGGAGGACTCTTGAGCTAGTACAAAAGTTAAAGAATGATAAATTGGAATTGAGTTATGAACCAAAGTTTGATCTTATACTTAAACGATTCAATACATCTGATTACACTATGCAGTTGGAAATTCTGCATAAGTTAGGAGAGATTGCAAATCCGTAAAGTACTTTCTCATTGAGCCGGATGTGAAGCCTAACCCTCGAGGTAAAGGACATAAGAAGATAGATATATCTACACGTCGAGACCTATGTGCATTTGAGTTGGTTCAGTTTGGACATGATAGCCACTCACTTATGGGCACCCAGATCCCCACACAGGATTCTGTTAAAGTATATAAAAAACGGCTTGCCAAATAGAAGGTACATGTAATCATTTTTTACTTACATTTTTGTTGATGATAAATTACATGTTTTGTTGTTCATGTATTGATGCCTTCCCTGTTGAATAGGTATATCGGACTCGTACAACTACGACTTATTCATATGTTGATGCACTCCCAGTTGGATTGAAGCCGTACATATGTCTTATCAGGGATATAGATGTCAATGACAATTATGGTTTAGGGCCATTGCTGGCTTGATGGGGCTTACAAAGGCTGAATGGGGTCAAGTCAGGCATGATCTCCTCCAAGAATTGCATATACACATAGACCATTACACTCATCTATATGGTTCACATGACGGGATTGAAGAGCTGATCCATATTCTATCATACTTTGAGCCCAATCCAGGGTATCACCGTTGGATGACTATGCCTGACATGGGTCATCTTATTGCATCTTGTTATAATGTGGTATTGTTCCACTTATCTGCACAACAATGCCTTACATTCCTTCCCCAACGATCAGTGCCAATATCACAAGTTCAACGACGTTAGATTGCTATTGGGTTTGTTAATGGGAATCATTTTGTCCAGGTATAAAATTATGATTTGTGTAATACATTTATCATTTTGTACTGCATCACTCTCATACTTAAAGCTTTGTCAATGTAGGTGTTCATGTTACCGGGTTATCCAGTTCCACCGATAGCTACCAATTGGTGCAAGTTTCATTATTCTTGTGCGGCTGGATAGGCTACTGCATATAGTCGCCGAATTGAGCATTTTAAAGAAGTTGTTCATTCAGGGGTACCTACTACAGAGACATTTGATTGTATTAACCTTGATGAGTAATGATGTATGTGAGTTGAGTTGTAGTTATGCAATTCAAACAATTACCGATACATTTTTAGCAGATTAACATTTACATAGTTGAGTTGGATTAATCTTTGAGTTAATTTAATGCACATGGTACTACTTGTTCATTGCGGTGTATCAAACACATTGGCATAATACTTCATGTTCATTACCAAAATTACAAACCATGAATACTAGTTCATTAAAAAATATTAGTAGAGTAATTCTTGTTCATTACAAAACAACAAAAACATCAAAAGAGTACTTCTTTTCCATTACAAAATATCAAAACAAGATTACCACAAAACCAACTACCTATCATGTACTCGTCTCCTACAATTGTATGTTCTAAATGGAATAGAACTAGGTATAGCCTCATTGATTTGTTGACCCTGAAACACACATGTCATCCTCTCAATGGCCTTATATAACCTATCTGGCTCACGAACACTAGTATCATGGCCCGCCTCGATGATAGGATGCGCAATCTGTAGTGCGTGATCAATATGCTGCATTAAGAACAAATACAATTGTAATTAGCACGTGCCATCTTCAAAAAAAAAAAATGTAAACGATATGTGCGCAATATTGTCATACCTCAGCATCCTGTACATCAGATCGACTATCCTGTCAACACAATCAACTAGACGTTTGACTGGGGTACTCCTCCTCCGAGCTGTTAAAACATGATTATCTCAACTCTCCCATATCTGATTAAGATAAGGATACATCACTCTATACCAACCTGTTGTGACATCTCTAACAACACAAACAGGGTCGAATGGCGCAGGTGGGATGGTCTAAACTTTACCAAACTGTCTAAGAATCCTTTCAGGATAATAGGGTTCAACTACATCCAAACACTTCAAACAACCGGTATAGAATGTGATCTCATGACATGGGCGATATTGACGGCAATCTTGATATGGATCCCAAGTAACCTAAGAGAGAAACACAAATGAAATTTTGATGAGTGACATGTAATGAGAACATTTATTTGAACTAATATTAATTGGTATACCTCATGAAATGCCAATCTGTCAAACTCCTCTCGTAACGCCTATATGTGCGACACCGTTGAACCAGATTCCCGATGAGGCGTCCATCGATGCACGTGAGGCAATTGTACAATATATTCCATGTTTTGGTGAGGTTTAAATGGCTGGAAATTCTCATAAATCCATGCCTCCAACAATGTCATGTAACTAGCCATCTGTCGAACAGCTGATCTCATGGCAAATCCCAACTGTCGGTATAAATATGCCAAGGAAACTGCGCCTCAAGCATATGTATGAATATCAATCAAATCCATCAACAACTACAAGTACACAACAAGAACTCTTGTCCCACTCTTGTTGCTGAACAGTGTACATCCTAATAGAAATAGCAAATATGCTCTAGCGGCACAAGCTATGGATTCTTCGGTGTCTGAATCTTTACAACCACTGAATTTGCTCCATAACCACTCTAGCTTTACTGATTATCCTATTGCAGATGATAGTTCCTCAATTGCTTCAGCATCATCAACTCCCAAGGAAGCTACCACAAGTGCATATGCCTGTTGATCTGTCAAAGTTGCAGCACTAACTAATCTACCTGTGATAGGGATCCCCAAGATGTTACCTACATCATCCAATGTCATTGTCATCTCACCAACTGTCAAATGGAAAGTATTTGTCTCTGGTTGCGATCGCTCAACAAATGCAGATATGACAATCCTATTCACGAACCGATATGTGCAACAGACCACAGAAGATAGGCCCGACTGCTGCACAATGTCTCTAAACCTTTTATTGTCGATTCTTGACCACCACCGCCACTCAAGAATCTTTGACACATGATTATAACACCTTAAGGGATTCCTCTCCTGCAAGTAAGTAGTAATTAACATCAATAATTTGGTTCAATAAATAATTAAATGAATGATGCATGAAAAAAATATATATACTACCTTTTGCTCCCATATAGTTGCTGCAATATGTGCCTTGAAGCTCTTCAGTACTGCTGGATCTGATGGCCCTCCAGGAAACGAACCAGTGAGTACCTCCTCAGCCTGATCAACATCAGCTGCATCATCATCATCATCATCCCTTGAACCATTATCAATCACATCCTCTTCCAAGATTTAAGGTGCTTCCTCCAACACAATATCATCACCTCGACCTCTACACCGATCCCGACCCCGATCTCGATCCCGGCGACGACCAGGATTTGTTAATGCACGACGTCGTCTCTTTGAGGCAGTAGGTGGAATATGTGAAGGGTCATCCATTTCTAAAAATGAAACAAAAAACAATAAAGTTAATAGAAGTAACACAAATCATTTATGTTAAAATACTCACAATCATATGGCCTGGTATAGATCTATGCCACTATCATATGAACAATATAATTTACTATGAAAATTCTTATTTCAGACATACATCATCACCATTTAGAAAGGGTAATCGGGATGTATTTCATTTTTTTATTCTCTATATCTATGGACCTTGTGTTCTATATGTAGTATGTTGTTTTCGCTTTTTATCTACTTTATTCTTGTTGTTTGGATATCTATAGTGTTAGAATCACGACCCTAAGACTAGACAAAAATCATTGACATGCCCCAGCCTAGTGTATGTTGTTGTTCTCAGCAAATTATGTGGATGTATGATAATCAACTACAATTTCGCATATATATTGTTGTTAGTTAGTTTGAAGAGTATATGGAACTAACTTATGTTGGTTTCACCTTGTCAAAAAGTTAGGAACTAGGTGCTGATGTATTCCAAAACTGAAAGGTACTATTGCAAAATTGGGCCAAAGGCTCCTATAGCACTTTGTTTAACTTGGGCCTATAGCTCTTAACCCATTATTGGTGCACCATGGAAGCAATAATGTATTGTCTGCCTTATATTAATAGGCAAAACATGGTAAGAAAATATTACAAAAATAACAATAGTCTAGATCTAGATACAAGAATTTTTAATAGGGTTCCTACCATTAACACAAAAAAAAAAAAAAAAAAAAAAAAAAAAAAAAAATTGCATTTCGAGGCAATTTCGCGCCTCAAAAAAGAACAAGAAAACAAAAAAACAAATATTGTTCGACAGTATCTGTTTGAACATGTTATTAATGTTTGACATTCTACATCCGAATTACTACTTAAGGTTCGACACTAAGAGATCGAACATGTTTGACAACAATAGACTGGACAAACTGCTCTTGTTCGAAAGTCAAGTGTCAAACTCCTTGTTGTTCGATAGAAATAGACCGTACAGATGTTTGGGGTTCACCATTCCAGTGTCGAACGGTTTGGACATTGATTCACTCAAATACAAATTTCATGGCAATGGAAATAAGTATATAAAGCCCTAAAATCTAAGCCAAATGACAACTCACCTACTATATCTCCAATGTTAGTTGTTTCCAACAGTGTTGAGCACCATTGACGATGTCTTTGATGAGAAAAAAAGTGTATTTAGCAATGGGTCTTCATCGGTTTAAATAGAGAATGGAGGGGAAGATGGAATATCGTGGGTGGGTGGCGTGTGTGAGTAAGTAAGGGTAAAGATAGAAGGCATTGTGGGTGGGGTGTGTGATTAATGGTAAAGATGGAAGTTTAGGGTGTGTATTGAGCAAAATACTTATTTATCAAAATATTAAGGGTGTGCCTTAAGTAATGGTTTGCCTTGAGATAAAATGGGGTGTGTAAATAGAGGCACCCCCCAAACTAGCAAGTATTTTATGTGTCCTTGCTATAGTATAAACTTATAACATAGGAGCTCTAACTAAAATCCCTATATATAAAATACAACTTATCATCAATTTATTTATATATATATATATATATATATTAGCGGTTGGCACACGTAATGCATGCGTAGTTAAAGTAAGTAAAATTAAGACAATTTTTACTATATATGGCATGCCATGCAAGTGTTAAGAGTGTTGTTTAAGTCCAACACTTTGTCAACTATCTCTTCTTCTTCTTTTTTTCCTTTTTTTTCAAATAGAAAAATGAGGACACATGACATAAGGAGAAGCCACTAAAGTTTGGACACCAAATGAGTTGTTTACTTTTAATAATAGTATAGATAGATAGATAGATAGATAGATAGATAGATAGTATATATATATGTATTATACCTAGAAAAAACCATTAAGAAAAGCCAAATGGCACATGAAAGAGTTCATCCAACCATCCAATCCAAAATTTACACCAAACAAAGTAAAAATATAGAAAGAAGTACAAAGGAGAGAAACTATGAAAATATTCAGACATGCATCTCGTGCTCGCGCTCGCACTGCGAAACAGAGCCGATCACAAGAGTTCAGCAATAGAGCATGTCTGATATAAATCATAGATCCCAACCATAGAGAGGGTAAGCTTAACAATCACACCACCGATGGACTCCAAAACAC